ACAGTCTTTATGCATTGCCCCCGAAAAAGCAAACAAGGGCCTTGAGCCATTAATAAATACAGACAGAATTTTCCTAAAATGTGAAAAAAATATGAAAAAAAAATCACATATTACATTTGCTGCTCTTGTAGGGGAAAAAAAAAAAGAACCTATTCAGGTTCAGGTATTTGACCTTTCAAAAAACTCATGGGTTAAGTGTCTGAACTGGATGTCAGAGGCCTGGGTTAGATTCCCAGCTCCAGCTCTGGCCAAGGCACACCCTTGGAAACAGTAAATGATGCATCTATCGGAGCCCTGCCAACCATGTGGGGGATCTGGATTGGATTCCCAGCTTCTTCTGGCTTTGGCGCCAGCTCACTTCATAAAGAATCCACCATTGCAAATATTTGGGAATGGAACAGCCAACGGGGGAGTGTTTACTCTCTCTCTCTCTCTCTCTCTCTCTCTCCTTTTCTTTCACCCTCCCTCCCTCCCTCCCTCCCTCCATCCATCCATCCCACACTCCCTCCTATTCAAATTATCCTACTTTTTAAAGCAGGGGTAGGCTATGAGAAACAGTGACTTGATCAGCACTTGTCATCACTGTTGATGTAAATTTAATACTTTATTCCTTTTAGTATTTTTTTGTTCTACTTAATACTATTGGTTGAGCTATGTAATTAACACACAATTATTCTTAGGTGTTTAAAGTTAACTGAAAAGTGATTCCTGGTAAATATAAGAGTGGGAATAAGAGAGGGAGGGGATGCACAATTTGGGACATGCTCAAGCTGACTTGCCCCAAGTGGTGGAGTTAGAAATGTGTCTGGGGATTCCAATTCAATCCCATCAAGGTTGCATGTACCAATGCCACCTCACTAGTCCAAGTGATCAATTTTAGGTCACAATAGATCATAATGATAGGTCTAAGAGTCAAAGAGATCACATAAACAAGACTAGTGTCTTCTAATACTAACTGAGAGAATAAAAAAAAGGAGAGAACAATCCAACATGGGAAGCGGAATACACAGCAGACTCATAGAATGGCAGATGTCCTAATCAGCACTCACTCTGGCCTCAGAATCAGCCCTTAAGGCATTCAGATCTGGCTGAAGAGCCCATGAGAGTATTTTAGGCATGGAAAGCCAAGACACTCTGGAAAAAAAAAAAAAAACACACACACTCTTCGAGTGTGATCCTAGTGGAAAGAACAGGCCATCAAAGAAGGAGGTACCTTTCTCTGAAGGGAGGAGAGAACTTCCACTTTGACTATGGCCTTGTAGAAATAAGATCAAAGTCAGCGAGCTCAGGGGGCTTCCATGGCCTTGGTAACTGATGACTAGAGCCTGGGGAGATTGCTGACGCCTTAAATAAGAGCATCAATTTGTTAAGTCAACAACAAGAGTCACTGTGCATTTACTCCTCATGTAGGATCTCTGTCCTTAATGCGTAGTTCAATGTGAATTAATGATATGACTAGTGCTCAAACAGTATTTTGCACTTTATGATCTGTGTGGGAGCAAACTGATGAAATCTTTACTTAATATATACTAAATTGATCTTCTGTATATAAAGATAATTGAAAATGAATCTTGATGTGAATGGAATGGGAGAGGGAGTGGGAGATGGGAGGGTCGCGGGAGGGAGGGAAGTTGTGGGGGGAGCCATTGTAATCCATAAACTGTACTTTGGAAATTTATATCTACTAAATAAAAGTGAAAAAATAAATAAATAAAACAGGAGTAGGCATGTACAAGCTACAGACTCCAGCTTCTTGCCAATGGAGAACCTGAGAGGCAGCACTGAGGGGTTACATTTCTGACATGCATGTGGGAGATCTAGGCTGAGGTCTATATCCTGGCCTTGACATGGCCATGGCTGTTGCTAGCAGTTAGGGAGTGAACTAGGAGATGGGATATCTGTCATTTTTGCTGTTGCTCTCACTCTCTGCATGTCAAATACATTTTAAGCTTTTCTAATCTTAGAGTACCGAAATGTTGCATACAGTTTCAGGTATGTCAGAAATCTCAACCCACAAATCCATCCACAAACATCCCAGAGACTCTGTTCCCAAATTTAGAACATTTACTCAGAGTAACTAACTCCTCAGCAACCACTGATACTTAGAGGAAGAAACCCAGGCTGGACAGTGGTCAGAGCACGGAGAAGCAGAGAAGACCATATTCCAGGGCCAGGAAGACCAAAGTGGGCCTTAAAGGGAGGATTTGAGGGTAAGAAGAACATAGATTCCATGACCCTCTTAGTATAATCTGAGTCCTGAGCAGTGAAACATGGTTCCCAGGGTCATCTGGAGACCGGCGCTTCCTGATCTACACAGTGGTTGCCCTGCCCCAGGCTCTCCTCACACCTCACCGTAATGAGAGGATCAGCTGAACAAGGGGTTTAAGAAGATGTCGCTAACCCTAACTATGACCTGCAGTGGACAAAGGGCCCAGAATGGAAGCAGAGCTGTGGTCCCACGGAGGAGCCCCTGCTGTCTTCCCTTGGGGGCTACAACACTGACAAGGAAAGCAGAACGCCCAGCCCATCTGGAGTTGAGTCCACAGGTAGAGAAGGGGCAGAGGCAGGGCAGGTGAGCAGAGGAGCCATCAGCGTCACTTACCAGCATACAGCTGCACCTTCCTCCAGGCTGAAAGGAAACACACCCTGGTGAGACCACAGCCACACCACCTGCTCAGCCCTCCCTGCCCTCTGTGCTGAAGGTCAGATTCTGCAGGAGGAGAGAGGCTGCACAGGAGGGGCCTCCTGCAGGTGCAGACAGCAGAGGATTGTGGGAAACTCCCTGACCACAGATCAGGAAACCTGCAGGACAGCTGAGTTACACCCCTGCTCCACTGCTGGGTGACTTTTGGCTGTCAGCTGTCTGCCCTGCGCCTCAAAGACCATAAAGTCTCCTGTGTCACTGGTTCCTTGATGCTGTAGGTCAGGAGCAAAATATGGCTGTGTGAAGATATTTTAGTGAAAAAATGGGGCCAGTGTTGTGGCTTAGTGTGTAAAACTGCAACACTGGCATCCCATATGGGCCCGAGTTCAAGTCCTGGCTGATGTACTTCTCCTCCATCTTCTTGCTAAGGTACCTGGAAAGCAGCAAAGGATGGACCAAGTGCTTGGGCCCCTGCAACCATGTGGCAGACCCAGGTGAGCTCATGGCTTCAGCCTGTGCAAGTTCTGGCCATTGTGGCCATTTGGGGAGTGAATCAGCAGATGTAAGATCTCTCTCTCTTCTCTCTCTTCTCTCTCTCTCTAAGTGCCTTTCAAATTAAAATAATATAAATATTTTTAAAACAAAAAATATTCTACATTAACAATTATTGCATGATATTTCCTGGTTGGGTATATTGGGAAAATTAAAGGCAAAGAAGAACCACATGGGGCTGAGACTCCTCCTGGATCAATGGAGCCAAACAACCTCCATAAAATATTTCTAGAGGGCCGGCGCCGCGGCTCAATAGGCTAATCCTCCACCTTCCGGCGCCAGACAACCGGGTTCTAGTCCCAATCGGGGCACCGGATTCTGTCCCAGTTGCCCCTCTTCCAGGCCAGCTCTCTGCTGTGGCCCGGGAGTGCAGTGGAGGATGGCCCAAGTGCTTGGGCCCTGCACCCCATGGGAGACTAGGAGAAGCACCTGGCTCCTGGCTTCGGATCAGCGCGGTGTGCAGCCTCAGCGCGCCGGCCGTGGCGGCCATTGGAGAGTGAACCAACGGCAAAGGAAGACCTTTCTCTCTGTCTCTCTCTCTCTCTCACTGTCCACTCTGCCTGTCAAAAAAAATATTTCTAGAGAGAAGCGTCAGTATGCTAAGAGACTTTCAGCTGGTCCCATCACATCCCCACATCTGGTCACCAACCCAGTCCTCTCCCTTTCACATTTCAACAGCACCTTTGAGAAAAAGAGAGGAAAGACTCCCTCTGGGTGGTGTCTTGAGAGGGAGGGGGCAGAAATCACACCCCCAAGCTCAACGACCCCATTTACTCATCTCTCCCTTCTCATGGAATCTCAGTGCATCTGGCTATGGTTTCCTGTGCAGACCAAGAGCTGGGGCACTGGAGGCTGAAACACTAGTGGCACTCACATGGGGACAGCCCAGCGTGGAAAAAGACCAAGGATGCGGCACACAAGTCTTGGAGCACAGACTACAAACAGTCACCAGGGTGTGAGAGAGCCCAGAGAGCAGGGTTCTGCCACCACCACTGCCACTGCTGCACTAATAAGGGGTCCACATGTCTGTGCCTGGACACAGACAAGGAGGGGACAGCTGGGCACTGGTGGGACAGGACCAGGGGACATCTGGAGAGTCACTCACCAGCCAGGTAAGCTGCCTTCCTCCTACCTGAAAAGCAGCACACAGGGAACAGGTGAGCTGAGACCCAGAGTGTCTTCCACAAAGGGACAGGGGGAGTTCAGGAGGGGAGCTTACCGAGTTCTCCCTGGAGCTCATCTGTAAGAGAGAGAAAAAACCTTGAACTTCTGTCCCAAGAAAGGAGAGACCGTGTGCCTGGAGAACCCACAGTAAAGACCTCATCCATATCCTAGAGAAGTTCCTACTCCAGACCCACGCACAGCTCCAGCCTCCAGCTGTCCTGTCTGGGTCTCCACAGCCACCTTCCCTGGAGAGCAGAACCCACAGACTCATCTCCCAGCATCCTTCCTCTCAGCACCAGCTGCCCCCCTGCCTGGCCCCTGGCCCCCTACCTCTGGCCTTCAGTGCCTCCTCCTTTGCCCGCAGGTCCTCCTCCTTAGCCCGGCATAACTTCTCCTGTTTCTGCCTCTCCTGCAGTTTTGCAGAGAGCTCTCTCCTGGTGAAGCAGCCAGCCCCAAAGAGCAGGAGCCCCAGCACCGTCAGGCTCCCAGCAAAAGCTGCCTTCCAGGGAGAGGCCTGCGGGAAGAAGGGCTCTGGGGCCCAGGGGGAGACCCAGTCAGGGGAGCACCCAGGCCCACCCCGCACACTCAGGGATGCCAGCTCCACCTCCCAACCCTGCCAGGAATGAGAAGCAGCACTGACCTGGGATGGACACGGCCATCGCCTTCTCCTGGCCCAGGATGGGATTGAGGACAGAGCAGCTCACACTCCCTGCAGAGCTGTCTCTCACCACCAGAGCCGCCTCCACGCTGAACAGCCCTGCTGCGTCCTGGGCATGGGCCTCAGAGAACTCCAGGAACTTCTCCCCACTGAGGTCTGTCCACTGCACCTGGGGCTTCGGGAACCAGCTCGACGCCTTGCACACCACGCGGACCCCGTCCTGCTCTGGCCCTTCAATGTGCACTTGAGGGGCAGAGCCCAGGCCTGCAAGAGGGGAGCTGTGGAGACCCTGGAGACCACTTGGCCCAGGGCCTCAGCAGGGTCTGGGTGTGGCACAGCTACAGGGGAGTCACTGTGTTCCATTCTGGAGAGTCCATGGGAGGGCGTGGCCTGAAGGAGGTAAAGAGCCCTGGGACCCATGGGGGCACAGAGTAGGGGGCTTTCTCCTCAACTGTGCAGCTGGGAAGACTGGGGCCAGAGAAACCAGGAGCAGGAACTTGACCCCAGGACTCCATCCTGAACCTCTAATCTCCTCACCCAGCTCAGTCCTGGGGCACCTGCTATGATTCCCACTGCCTCTCTCTGTAAATCACTTCCAATACTGCACCAGTCAACAACCCTGTCCCCACTCCTGCCCTCATATCCACACCCTGAGTTATCTCTGCCAAGTTTCCTTACATACACTAGAAAATCAGACTTTCAGAACTTAATGTGTATTATTAAAATATCTGGCTTTGCCCTGTTCTTCTTCCCTGGCCTCTTGCCAGGACAGGGCTTGCTGTAGCCCTGTGCCTCCAGGGCGCATGGCCTTCGGGCCATGTGCTCTAGTCTTCCTGGCCTAGATGCTCATCTACATGCTGCTGCTCTTCCAATGCAGCTCTCTGCTATGGCCTGGGATAGCAGTGGAAGATGCCCCAAGTTCTTGGGCTCCTGCATCCACGTGGAAGAAGCTCCTGGCTCCTGGCTTCAGATCAGCACAGCTCTGGCCGTTGCGGCCATCTGGGGAGTGAACCAGTGGATGGAAGACCTCTCTCTCTGTCTCTGCCTCTCTCTATAACTCTGTATTTCAAATAAATAAAAATAAATCTTAATAAAATATCACCTATTCTTTCTCCATCTTTATATGTAGCCAGCCCTCTACCACACACTTGGTGGTTCCCTCACATTGACTCTCTGAGGTTGGTCGTGTGCCCTGACTTCCACACTGAGAGTGGCTTAGCCTGACTGAAGCAGAGGCTTGGAAAGCACTTGTGCCATTGGTGCTCTTGTGGGCGTTTGGAGGGTGAACCAGCAGATGGAAGGTCTCTGTCTCTATCGCTCTCTGTTGCTCTTTTGAATAAATAAAAATAAATAAATAAAACTTTTTAAAAATGGAATTCATGGCTGGCACCGTGGCTCAATAGGCTAATCCTCCGCCTGCGGCGCTGGCACACCGGGTTCTAGGTCCCGGTTGGGGCGCCGGATTCTGTCCCAGTTTCCCCTCTTCCAGGTCAGCTCTCTACTGTGGCCCGGGAGTGCGGTGCAGGATGGCCCAAGTGCTTGGGCCCTGCACCCCATGGGAGACCAGGAGAGCACCTGGCCTCCTGCCATCGGATCAGCGCGATGTGCCGGCCGCGGCGGCCATTGGAGGGTGAACCAATGGCAAAAGGAAGACCTTTCTCTCTGTCTCTCTCTCTCTCACCGTCCACTCTGCCTGTCAAAAAAAAAAAAAAATGGAATTCATGTTACATCTGATTGACTAAAAAAAAGAAACAAAACATGAGATTTCTCTGTCTTCTCAGTCCCTCAATGGATGGCCTGTGATGTGTCCCATGTTCTGGTTTGGTGCTTACTCAGCAATGAAACAGTTGTGTTTCCCTACTGCCTTTGCAAAGAGGAATTCTGGGAGAAAACTTTGGTTTTGATTTTACTTCCACAACCACACCAAAGATGTGTGAGTAAACCCACCTGACACACTAGGGGCTCCACGTACAAGATTTTTTTTTTTTTTTTTGACAGGCAGAGTGGACAGTGAGAGAGAGAGACACAGAGAAAGGTCTTCCTTTGCCGTTGGTTCACCCTCCAATGGCCGCCGTGGTCGGCGCGCTGCGGCCGGCGCACCGCGCTGATCCGATGGCAGGAGCCAGGAGCCAGGTGCTTTTCCTGGTCTCCCATGGGGTGCAGGGCCCAAGCACCTGGGCCATCCTCCACTGCACTCCCTGGCCACAGCAGAGGGCTGGCCTGGAAGAGGGACAACCGGGACAGAATCCGGCGCCCCGACCGGGACTAGAACCCGGTGTGCCGGCGCCGCAAGGCGGAGGATTAGCCTAGTGAGCCGCGGAGCCGGCCCACGTACAAGATTTATATTGAGAACATCAATGAGTGACTGAGCTGTCTTTCCTCACATATGAAATGAGATGTTTAATTACATGAGTTTCCTCCAAAACCCAATACTCCCAAGGTCCAGATCCAGAATACAGATCAGGTCACCCACCTGCCACCTGCAGTTCTAAAGTGGCCTCTTCATAGTAGTCTCCCTTCTGAAAGAGGCAGGTGTGCCTTCCATTGTCTGAAACCTGGACCTTCTGGATGCGCACGGCAACCTGCCCCTGGGTGAGGAGGTCCCTCACCAGCGAGGTCCGCCCTGCGTACTGGGGCATCTTCTCCTCCTGCTGCTCCTGGTGGTTCTGATACACGAACACCACCTCTGAGAACTTGGTTCGGAACCACCGCAGCTCCATGTCCTCTGCGTTCATGGCTGGGACCAGGGAGCAGGGCAGGATGGCGTCACCACCCAACTCTGCCACAATGGGATCTGAGGGGCCGATCACCTGGAACTTGTCTGTGGACACAGAATAAACTGAGAACTGAGAGACTCAGGCAGGAGCAGAGACACACACATCCGCTGTGGTCATGGAACAGCAGGCTCCAAATCCTTAAACAACAGTCAATTCTCTAACACCCACTTGATGGCTGAGTGACTCATCCTAACTTCTTAATGTCAGCCAGTGCTTGGGGCAGCACCACCACATTCTGGGCCTCATTCTGTCCTGACGGACAGGGCTGGGGGCTCCTCCCACCGCAGAAGAAGACCCAGGACGAGTCAGGGACAGACTCACCTGCAGAGCCCCACGTGGGCAGCTGGGCGAAGAGAAGCAGGGAGGGGAGACTGCAGAGCAGAGAGGGGCGGCAGCCGTGCTCCATGTCCTCGGAGCTGGGGAGAGAGGCGGGGAGGAGGAGGCCTGGGCCAGCAGGCAGCAGGCAGGAGACAGGGCCACAGCAGAGTGCCAGCCCCTCTTTGGGGAACCAGTGCCAGGGCCGCCCTGTCAGCCCCAACAGAAGCAAAGCCTTCCCTACAGCCTCAGCACACAACAAGGGGTCCCCACAGGATCTGACAGCACAGACAGCTGGGCCGGGGCTCTACCAGCCCTTCAGGGAAGACTGCTGTGCCAGGCAACACTTAAGGCAGCCTGGGGGGAAACAGCCCCTTCTCTTCCCACCCCAACTGAGTTCCTCTGCCCAGAAAATCAGGTCTCTTCTTTCTCAGCCCTGGGGCCCCACGGAGGAAACCAGGCCACTATGCACACAGTGCCCAGGACCCACCCCACCAGGACAGAGACCCTGATTCAGGCCACTCACCCTGAAGGACGTACCACCTCCTGCTTCCTGCAGCTCTTCAACCCCCAGTGGTGACCTGGGTGTCCCCTGAGAAGGGTCAGAGACAGACCCCTCCTCACCGAGCCTGTGCTGCCCGTCCCAGGGGCCCAGCACCTGTGGCATCTGTGGCTGTGGCGTTCACCTAAATTTGACCCCACCCCCAGCCTCTTATCCACAGGCCCATGTCCTGGCCCAACGTTCAGCAGGTGCCCGGGGCCAGTTCCTGCTTGCAGGTGAATCCTTACTCCCTCCACATTCAAAGATTTCTGCACTAACAGTTAAGGACCCTGGGAGGAGGCAGCACCACAGAGAAAGTGATCCACAAGTCACCTACTCTTTGTGCACTGGAAGAAGAGGCAGCCTCTGGTCCTGCGAAGAACAGGCTCAGGGCCCTCATAGTGCTGCCTCCAGGCTCCCTGGGTCACAGCTGAAGGCAGAGCCCTGGAGTTTCTGGGCCTCAGTTCCCTCATCTGCAAATGTGAGTAACAGCGTCTTTCCCCAGAATTGCAGGGAGAGGTCCCTGACTCTGTGTCAGCACAGTCACTAATGCAGTCAGAGCAGGGCCTGGTCTAGGACACATTTGAGAAATAGCAATCAAAGAAATGAACACAGGCTCAGTGCTCCCTAACCTCGTCCTGGTTCTTCCTGCATTGAGACTTCCCCAGCTGCCCCCCTCCACTGCCCTGAGCCCCACCACACTCTCAGCTCCTCCCTCCATCCCTGCTCCCTGCTTTCCTCTTCCTCACCCACAGGTGTTTCACAGCCAGCTCACCTGCTCCCCTGTGACTTCTTCCAACTTCTTCTTCTCTAAATTCAGCAGCTCCAGAAAATTCAGAACCACAGCAACTGGTAAATCCACCCCCTTGGCTTGCACCTGCCCTGAGCTGTCCTCAAAGCCATTACCCCTGCTTCAATGTCCATGCTGAAGCCCAGGAATCCTCATCCTAATGAGGCAGTGAGCTCCCAGGAGACCAGAGGAGCAGCAGAGCTGGCACAGGTGCAGCAGCCTCTACAGAGGCCCAGCCCTGGGGCCACTCCAGCACCACAGCTGCCCTGGGAGTGGCTGCAGCACAACCTGAGCTCACAGTGCCCTCAGCCCCTCCCCCTCAGCCACCACCTGTCCCTGCCCAGCACCGAGACTTCCCCAGGCCCAGAGAGGCTAGAGAACTTTCAGGAAATCACTGAAGAAACTGAGTTTCAGTCCATGACTATTTAGTGTCAGGATCTGAGCTACACACAGCAGATGCCTGCAGCTCCTGTCACAGCTGGGAGCAGATGCAGTAGGACAGGAGCCCTGCACCTCCTGATACCAGGAACTTCCTAGGGGAGGGACGGCCTGGAGCTGCAGGGAGATCCCGCTCCCCATCCCCCACCCTACACACACACACACATACACACACACCCAGTGGAATTTTTTTTTCACCTTTAAAAGTTTTCCTTGCCATCTGTAACCAGCATCAGCCTGGCAGGTGGGCTGAGCTGTGACCAGGCAACCTGCTGAGCAGAGCCCTGGTGGACACTCCTCCTTCTGGCTGCCATCTGCCCCTCAGGTGGGAGGAGTCTGCGGCCCTACCCCAAGTCCAGGCTGTCAGCACCACAACTGATGTTTACAAGCAAATGTAGCTCAG